TGCTTCAGACATTTGCTAAAAAATAAAAATAAAAATTGCTGATACCAAAACGCGTTGACATGAGGAAGAATACAAAGCAAAAACTAGAATTTTTTACCTGATAAATCGATATATTAATAATATCATACTCACACAGAAATAAAAGTGTTATTTCTTCCACCATGCTTACATATTTTCAATAACGATCTGTCAAAATATATATCAGATTTGTTATCTACTAGTAAAGTAGAGTAAGTATTAAATTATTGATATATTGTTTTATCAGATAACTTCAGTTTCTGTCTCATATCTTTCCTCTCGTCAACGCGTTTCCAGATAGTCTCGCATATAATTGTGTAGTTGCACAACACTAATAATATAATACAAAATATTAGAATGCTAGATTAATTGACATCCAATATTTTTATAGGTTACGTACTTATATAATTTTCTCCCAAAATTAAAACGTTCTATTTTTTTATGTAAATATGATCTCGATTTTGTGAACGATTTCTTTATATTAAACGATGTATCGAACACCGCAAAGAGATTTTAATTTCGAATTCTCTTTCCGTGTCTATCGCATATAAGATATTTATATATTTTATAAAATATGTCAGATAAGGAGAGAGAGAGAGAGAGATATTAATGTATTTATATAAAAAAATTGTAAATCATCTGAAATTCTGAAACGCTTCATTTCTGCTTTTTTTACTCTCTTTGCGCATAAACAATCGACACGAGTTTACTCTTTCGTTCCAAGAATACATATTTATATTTGTGGAATAACGTTGACACACGTGGAGTAGATGACCAATTCACCAATGAAGGCGAGGCAATTTGACGCGTGGTATACGTGCCTGTGTATGCTGCAAATACGCATAATTCGCGGGATTCAGTGCGGGATTTAAATTTATCCCCCGGCCCCAAACTGAAGCTGCGAATCAAGCTTTCATCAAATACTAATATATAATTTTTATATATAGAGATAGATAACTTTAATCTCGGTTTACCCTTAATCTTTTTTTACTTCTCAAAATTAAAAAAGTATGTTTAATTGCTCTTACTAGAAAGCAGATTTTTTTAATGTCTGCTACACACTATGCCAACAAAATAATAACAGAATTAGATGTACCTAATACTGTTGATAGACTGCTAGAAAAAACGTAACAGAATCTGCAAGCGTCAGATAATGTCGGCAGGATCTGCTCAGTTTCTGCCAACAATTTGCCTTCAAAACTTAAATTAAAATTAGATTTCTTCATATTAAAAAATAATAAAGGTTAAAAAAGGGCGATTAGGAATCGGCGCTGTAATAAGTGCGCAAAAATTGATGTCATAATATCTTCTTAAAATTATTCCGTTTCTTTATATTCCTCGAACGTTTCGGCTAACTTCTGTGGTTACCCTCCTACACCAAGATTCCATACAAGTTTGAAGGCTGGATGGTCACCGACGTATATATTTTGACCTTAAAATTAGTGATTTAAAATTAGAATCGAACCAATATTATACCTTACAGGAATCTGATGTGGCGAATCACCTCAGGAGCACGTCGACACAAACTTCAGTCATTACACAGTAAAAATTCGCAAACAAAAGTTATTTGTACATAATTATAATTTTTCAACGAGACGATATACTTACCGATGTCTCTAGTACAGTGTCTCTCTTTGTACTGACTATGAAATATGTTTATAATTTCGCTTAAGATAATCCGTGGTCGGTCAAATAACAAAAATATGACGGACAAAGTAACTCCGTGTCCTTGTTTAAATTAATTCCGTTCGTTTGATGTTTATTAATTTGTCTTCATATTATATCGACAGACTATATGTGCCTTCAACAAGCGACACAAATGACACGGTGTGACACAATGGATCATTATATCCTTGTTGTTTGTCATTGTTAAACAAAGATGACATGATCACTGTGTCGCACTATGTCGCTTGTTGGAAGGCACACGATGTTAACAGAACACAAGCCTAGCGCGGACGCAATTGATGGCAGACTGTCGTCATTTTCTGCTCGAATCTGCTTATCTTTTTCATGAATTTTGCTGATATATATATATATATATATATATA